AAAGAACCAAATAAGTAAACAAATATAGTAAACAAAGCAGACACAGGCTTTGCAGAGAATTTAGGTAGGGTGATCTGATAAGAGGTGACTGCTCTAGATTGGACAGTCTGGAAATATCTTTCTATGGAGTGACTCCTAAACTGAATGACAAGAAGGCTTTGGCTCCTCAGTGATCAAAGAGACAGTATTCCAGGCATAGATAACAGATGCAAAAGCCTCAAGGCAGGAATAAATTTAACATATTCAAAAGTCAGGAAGAAAACTAGTGTGGTTGGAGCTTGGTGAACAAAAATGGAAGTGAGAAGCGGTGAAGAGAGAGAACAAAGTAAGGGTCAGATCACTGTGAACTTTGTAAAAAGGGAAATAAATGGAGTAGGAGACAAAAGAAGAAAAAGAGTAAATAAATGGAAGAAGTCAAGGAGAAAGGAGGAGGGGAAGAAGAAAGGAAAACAAGACAGCAAACTTCTTGCAGCCATAAAATACCACTGCTATCAGAAAGCATAAAATCTTGTGAAGGATATAAACCCTTAATGTAAAAACGTAGAAAAAAAAGACAATCAACAGAATTCTGAGGGAGAATTAAATCAGACTGGGGTGGGGTAATACTGCCCTTGACTGGAACGTTCACAAGATGTGAATGCCCAGCATGGGCTTGGCTAGATGTCAGGGGGAGAAAGCCAGAAATCATCGAAAGACACTCATCCTAAATCAAGTTATTAGAACTACAAAACTTTTATTAAAATGGAGTTTGTTTCTGGGAGATTATATAGTACAGAAACCAGGTTAGGGCCAAACTCTGATTACAGGCGCAAAAAGAAGAAACAGATACACGGGTCATGAAAGTAGTGGTCTGAAATTTACAAAGAGCGAAGGACACAAATCAATACGATAGAGGTTCAGTAGAAAAAGAAACTATTTTAGGTCAAAGGACAAAAGAAGTGCTTCTTAGAGAAGGTGAGCGTTGATTATGCCCAAACCAGAATGGGTTGTGTTTGAGAGAATGTGCCTCCCACTGAATGTTCTACAGGCCACACTGTACAGAATCACAGGCACAGTTTTGTAGCCCAACCTTAGTTGTGTCTGGGCTCTCAATTACTCTGAAACTCGTGGGTCCTTTTGTGAAAAGAGGAAGTATATATTACCTTATTTTTCTTAATATCTCTATTCCTGAACAAGTTACTCCTGGAAATTATACTTTATTTATTTATTTTTAAAGATTTATTTATTTATTAGAGAGAGAAAGAGACCATGAGCAGGAGGAATAGAGGGAGAGAGAGACCCTCAAGCCGATTCCACCCTGAGCACGGAGCCCAACTCAGGGCTCTATTTCAGGACCCTGAGATCACAATCTGAGCCGAAACCAAGAGTCGGAAGCTTAACAGACTGAGCCAACCAGGCGCCTCCTGGAAATTATACTTTCTGGTCATAATTCACAAGCATGTACCTACAAATCTCAAATATAATGAAGTTAGACTTCTATAATCAAGCCTGAACCATTAAGCTTTCTCATCAAAACATGGCAATGATATAAGTATCCTACCTATCTTGACATGTCATTGGATGTTCCTGGAAAATTATAACTCATACATAAGAAAATTATTTTTATTATAAGCAGTGCTAAAATTCAAACTCTATTCTCTTGATCTGCAGAATATTGATCTACTGCACAATGGCTCTCTGTAAGCTTCTTAACTGATTTTTCAGGTTAGTTGAAGGGGGAAAAAAAGCAGAGATAACATTTTGAAAGGACTAATATATAAGCCATTGTTATTTGTACTTCATCATCTGTCTTATTGGAACAGAGCAAAGTTAAGGATAATTTTAATGGTACATAATCCAACAGTCAATATGTACTTGGCATTGATGTGTGTTTTTGTACTTTTATTTGAATAAAAGGGTGTCTGGTGTTCTGGTAATCGAACTAAAACAAAGTAATGAAGTCACAGTGACAATATCTCGTTCAGGATTTCCTCATGGTAAGGTTCCTCAATTTAACGTCTCTGCACCTTAATCCATGCAGACTGACATTGCTCTGGATGTATATCACCTTTTTCTCCTCTGAATAAAGAAACCTATTTATTTCACAAAAGCCAATGGAATACTTACTGGGTGAATGACATTGAACAAAAAATTAATAAGTCAACATAGCAGAATGGGATAAAGAGACACAGAAAACATCCACATTAGGAAGTGGTAAGAATTAAATGAGAGCTCCTTGTTACTTCCCCTCCTACCCAGAGATAACTTTGCTGTCAATGACATAGGGAGCTATCAGGCAGGAAAGCATAGCCTGCTCTTTTCCATTTTAATATGTTGTATAACTGGAGAGTTTCGACTGCTCTTCTTTAGAAAACTCAAGTAATGAAAAAAAATAATAAAAACAAAATAAAAACAAAAAGAAAACAATAACAGAAATCTCCTTCCAACTACCTTCAGATTTGAGGAATGTAGCTAGGTGAAACTACTCATCATCAAGATAATTTTTACATTGACTATATTTTGGCTCTGTAATACAGTTCCTAACTTCAGTGCTGGCCCTGACAATTTTCCAGCTCGGTAGTGGAATTAACTGCCTAAGACCCCACACAGTGCAACAGAAAATCTCCAAAACTGAGACCTTAATGGTGTATTAAATTTAATTTGACATCCAGAAGAGACCAAGGTCATTAATTGGAAATACATGCCATCAGGCAATTTAGAGCCATCTATCTAGTTCACCTACTCAAACAATCTACTGGATTTTCCAAGCAACAGTTGGTTACATTAACTACCCAGCTCTAATTAAATCTGCAGGCGGTCTATTTGGCTAATTTAAAAAGAAACTTTCATAAATCTTGGGAAAGTTCCTTTCTAACAGATATAAAATCCTAGTCGCTACTAGGATTTAGTAAAGAAAGAGGTCTTGTTATCTTTACTATATCTTTCCCTTGTGGCTTTTTTTGTTTGTTTATATAACAAATGGTATATTCATTTTTGTATTAATGAGCTATGCAAGTTCAAGAAGTGTCTCATCCTACTAAGAAAGACAAATTCACTGAAAAGCAATAATGTTGTTTTCCTGCATGATAACTACCATTAGTTGTTCAAGATTAAATTAGTCAAAGAACTCTTCCAATGAAAATTAACTTATAATACATTATGGCACCACTTGTGATCTTGGACTATATACTAGAATGGGGTCAATTGGGCGCCTGGGTGGCTCAGTTGGTTAAGCGACTGCCTTCGGCTCAGGTCATGATCCTGGAGTCCCGGGATTGAGTCCCTCATCGGGCTCCCTGCTCGGCAGGGAGTCTGCTTCTCCCTCTAACCCTCCTCCCTCTCATGCTCTCTGTCTCTCATTCTCTCTCTCTCAAATAAATAAATTAAAAAAAAAATAGAATGGGGTCAATAATAATAGCAAAGAAAAACAAGACAAATGCAAAACACGCTATGAAGAAAATTTAACTAACAATGAAGTGCAGATCAGAACAGTTATATTTTGAATGCTAAAATCATATTTAGCAAAAGGGACTTTTAAAAACACAAAATATTCACCACTCTTTTTTAAAATGTAGGCCATCATGCTTCATACTTATTAAATTAGTTGTTCCAAGCAATATGATCACATGAGGACACATTTGTCACAGATACATAGAAATTTAGCAATTTTTTTTTTTAGGATTCCATTCCACAGGTAGATGGACATATAATGATATTTTCTAGGTTGAACTTAAATGAAAGTAGTTCACAATTACCCAGTCCAGCATTGATGAACCAAAGAATCTTAACTGCCCAGAACTAGATTCTGAATTTTTATCTTTTAGACCTATGTCTTACATCTAATAATTCTGTATTTCACTCTTGAAATAAAAAATAATCACTCATTAGTCCTTGAATAAAGGCTTAAAAGTTACTCTACTACTGTATTCATATTGAGGATGATAAAAGGAGCAGAATGAAATTATTCTAGAAGGTTTAGTCATAACCAAAGCAGAAGCCAGGAATAATCACAGGGAAACAGAGGATAATTTAATGACATTACTAAAACAGTGGGAATCCCTACACTACCTGGATGATTAGGAAAAGGGTTATTAGCTAAGCCATTGTCTGAAACCCACTGAGTCACTGGTCCCTTTGAAAAATGATTGGTCATTCTTTTCTAAAGATGGGTTTTTAAATTTAAGAGAAGCTTCAAGCAGCAGAGCTGAAAGATAAAAAGAACACAGATCTTGCATGGGTTTAGATTTCTCTTCTTAGGCAAAGGATTGAGGTAAGATATCAAAATCTTTGCTTTCATAATTTTAAGAGCCCAAATCAGTCAACTCGGAAGGTTAAACTACCAGGGTCCCCTCAATGCTTATACAGATCAGTAATTTGAATTAGGGCAGGAGTTTTTACACCTGGAGGACAAGAGCTAATATGCTTCCACAGGTTGCATTATAAATCAATATTACAGTTTCATTTCATAATCTCTTTCCTTAAATTAGAAAAATATTGACTCAGTTGCTCAGTTTTAATATATTTTATGTTATTAGACTTTTAAATGGACTTGTATCTGTTATCGGACTATTGTCAGATCTTTATTGTAGTATTTTTACTACTACGTTAAATAGACATTAAAACTGTTTTCATAATAAAGACCTAGTTCATTGACCCCAGTCATGGGCCACCCATGATCAGAAGGACCCATTCCCTGATGTACAGAACAGCGCAAGTGATGAGGCCATCTTGCTCATTAACTCATTCAACTACATCACGTGCCACCAAATGAATCATTTGGTCAAGCTAAAAGGGCAAGCAAACAATTCTGGTTTTTGTAAACAGCTGCTCTGAGAAAAAGAATTATTTCTGTTATAAATATTTATAAATCTACCTTTTTTATTTTAAATCCTAATATATAAGTAAATACTATAGAATTCACCCAACTACTCTTCTGATTGAACAATACCAACCACTTATTGTTATGATTTTTACGATAGAGGGTCTATTTAAAGCTCAATTTCACACCTTATTTTCTAGATATTTCATCTGAAAATGAAAACCATAATTCTTCTTGGGCTACTGGGAGCCACAATGTCAGCCCCAGTAAGTGATTTCATGGTACCTCTAAAATCATCCTGTGAAACTGTAACAAATCTTTCTTTGACCATTTCTGGGTTTTATTTTTTAGCTTATCCCACAGCACCTGATGTCTGCAAGCAACAGCAATGAGGTTAGTTTAAATACATACAACAAGCTCTCCATTTTTTTTTTTTTTTAGGGAAACCCAGGGGAGAAGAGATAAAAACCTTCATTTTCTAGCTCGCACTTTCTCAAATAAACAAATCTTAAAAAGGAGGGGGGAAAGGCACCTGGGTGGTTCAGTCAATAAAGCCTCCTACTCTTGACTTTGGCTCAGGTCAAGATCTCAGGGTCTTGAGATCTAGTGCCCCTCTAGTGCCCACAATCAGCAGAAAGTCTGCTTGAGATTCTCTCTCCCTCTCTCTCCCCCTGTCCACCATGCTCTCTCACTCTTTCTCTGAAATAAATAAATAAATCTTTTTAAAAAGCCTTAATTAATTTATCCTGCATTCCTATCCACTAGCTCTTATATCCGAATGCATTTCCAATGTTCATGTTTATTTGGTATACCAGGTTTTTTCCAGAATATTATTTTGCTCCCTTGTGTGACTGTAAATTCTTTAAAGGCAGAGACAGTATCTCATATATCTTTTTATTTTAATAGCACCCAATATGGGTGTACACAGGTGTTTAAGAGCATAAAAATGACTGACTAAACCACTGGAATGGGCTGAAGTTGTGCAATCTCAGACCCAGCAGGGGAGAGGTCGTTAAATCCCATTCTCTAATCACTGTAATTTAGTACAAGCTTAGTGAGAAAACACCCCTAGCAGGAAACTGATTGGTCAGCCCTGGCTTGTTCTATATTTGTAGTAAATCTTGTTCTTGATAGTTTTAGCATCTGTACTCATCTTGTTTTCATATTATCTTTCCTTTTCTAGTTACTTCTGAGTCTTAATAATGCTCAACTTCAGCCCCTACAGCTTCAGGTACCTCAATAATTATTTTAAGAATATTTTTTGACTGCTTAGTTCTTATAGTACTTTGTAGAGAAAAAAATGTTTACTGATTTCATTTCTGAAATCTCAATTTTTAAGGTTATGAATTTGTCCGATATATTCTAACGACCATTTATTTGAAGACAAAAGTAAACGTTGCAATCTGATTAACATTTACTTATTGAAAACTTGGTAAGTGCCAGGCACAAATTCTCACAACTGTGAGATAAATTAACTACTTACACAAAGTCATACTCAACTGTTAAAAAAAAAAAAAAAAGGACTTAAAACCAGTCTGGCAACTGCAGAAACCATACTCTTTATCCATCTCATTCTGCCCCATATTTTTTATGGCCATTGGGAAGTTGGCATTCTTCATGCTATTTGCACAGCTCATAATGTGCTAAGATGCCATCCTTTTTTATAATGCAGCAATGGAATTACAGAAATTGTCTACATTTTGCCTTTTTCTTGCTTAGGACTGATTTTAAATTCTTTTCAAAATGAAAGAGAAATGCTTCCTTTCTTCCTTTTGTGTCCTTCCAGGGCCCATTTAATTCATGGATCCCTCCTTTCTCTGGGATCCTGCAACAGCAGCAGCAAGCTCAAATTCCGGGGCTCTCTCAGTTCTCTTTACCAGCTCTTGACCGGTTTGCTGGGCTGTTCCCCAATCAGGTACCTTTCCCAGGACGGGTCAGTTTTGCCCAAGGAACCCAGGTGGGACAGCTGGACGCCTCACAGCCTCAAACACCACCGCAGACCCAGCAGGGCCCTAATCACGTAAGTCGGGCCTCTCCTATCCTGTTGTTCTGAGGAGAGAGAACACACGCTGAATGTGAAAATGAGTAAGAATCAGCTTTAAAAGAAGACAGCAGTTACTGAGAAAGACTTCTTTCTCATAATTTGCTCTACCATCACTGGAAATACTTCCTTTTCTGATTTCTAACATGAAAAATACCATTTAAATCAGCTCTTCTATCACAGCCACAAGTCAAGAGTATTAAAAACATGTCCGAGAAAAGATAATTAGGGAAATTTCATCTTTAAAGAAGAAACAATTTGCATTAATGATATACATATAATACATGACCTTTGTTGTCATAGAAGTCTTTTTTTTTTTTAAAGATTTTATTTATTTATTTGACAGAGAGAGAGATAGCGAGAGCAGGAACACAAGCAGGGGGAGTGGGAGTGGGAGAGGGAGAAGCAGGCTTCCCACTGAGCAGGGAGCCCGATGTGGGACTCAATCCCAGGACCCTGGGATCATGACCTGAGCCAAAGGCAGACGCTTAACGACTGAGCCACCCAGGTGCCCGTCATAGAAGTCTTTAATACAAATTATAAATGCATATGGCTAGGTCTAGGAAAAACAGCTCTGGAATTTTATGTTAAAAAGTCAAATATAACTGGGGTGCCTGGGTGGCTCAGCCGGTTAAGCATCCAACTCTTGATTTTAGCTCAGGTCATGATCTCAGAGTCGTGAGATCCAGCCCCATGTGGGGCTCTGTGCTGGGCGTGGAGCCAGCTTAAGATTCTCTCTTCCCCTTTTCCTCTGCCCCTCCCCACTGCCTGCACTAACTCTCTCTCTCTCTCTCTCTCTCTCTCTAAAAAAAAAAAAAGTCAAGTATAACTTTTTTATACCTTTTTTGGCAGGTTATGCCCTATGTGTTCTCCTTCAAAATGCCTCAAGAGCAAGCTCAGGTAAATGAGTAGAATACCATCCCTCCTACAGACAGATGGCTAACTATACTCTCTATCTAATGCTTTCTTTTATACTTGTAGCTGACTCCTATAGCAGGGCTATGAACACTAATAGAATTATCACTGTCTAGTACCACTGTTACTGGGCTGGCATCAGTTTGTTAATGTTAGGCTCACTTAATAACGCCTGAAGAAAGGACAGCTAAGGAGAGTCCCCAGAACCCCTGAGTTTCCAGGGCATTACTGTATTGGGAATAAAAGAGCTCCATAAGCTGTAGGTCTTGGTCCCTCTGCATGATGTTTGTACTGGCATTTGGAAACTCAAGAGAAATACCATGGGCTGACTTTGCCTAACCCTAAATTTTGTTTCAGAGGGAGATGCATTAAACAGATAAAATATAATATGATGTACAGATAAGAAACACTTGCCACATTATTTGGCAGTCAGGGCATTCTGCTCAAACTATTACCAGGATATTTTCAATTTAATTACCTATTACAATCAAATGGTGGTGATTTCCATTAAACCTTAAAAAAATGAATACCAACTAGTATTATCATTAGAGTAATATGGAAAACCCTCTCAAGATTAGTTTCACCTAATTAACTTTTAATAGACTAGGTTCAAAGAAATAGGGACATGGATAAATTATTCACTAGCAAAGTACTGACCATTTCATAAAACGTTATACCACTTGGCTCTCATGTGATCATAATTATGTAATTTTTGTCCCACGCTCATTATAAAATAAAAGTTACTTCTAGACATTACCTCATTCTATGCCAGAGCCTTTAGAGAGGTAGATACATGGTAAGTGGGATTACTTCATTTTAAGGATCAGGGAACTAAGTCTTAATGAGATTAAATTCCCAACCTTAATGAAAGTAAATAGCTGAGTTGGAATATAATTCTTCATCTTTCCTTAACCACTAAACCAATGGTTCTCCACCCTGGCTTTGCATTAGAATCTCTGGTGGTAATTTGGAAAATTACAAATGCCTGGACCCTACCCACACCTAATGAATTAAGACCTGATGAGTAGATCCCAAATAAGATTATCTACTAAAATGCTCAAAAGGTGATTTTTAATTCTTAGCCAGAAATAAGAACCATTGCAAAAAATGTACTTCTCAAACTATAGTTGTTTTTTTAAAACTTATGTTTAATATAGTCTCTTATTTAATTATTCAAGGACACAAAACATACTAAATTCTATGTATGTACTAGGATCCCCATTTTCTATAAACACATATGCATGTATAGACACACACAGGCATAAATGGAAGCCAATACATGATAATGTGGGTGGTAAAGTTGCAGGTGATTTTATTTGTTCCTTGTCTATTTCTGGATTTTCCAAATACTCTAAAAAGGCTTATGGGTTATCTTTAAAAAAATGGCAATTAGTAAAGGCAACACATTCTTGAGAATTCATTCATTATCACAGAACTTCTAATACCATTCCTGCAGAATAATGATTCTTAAAAAACATAGGGAAAATATCCGGTAAGTCAGACATGACTTCTTAGATATTCACAAAGTAAACTGTACATAAAGTTTGTATATAAAGTATACAGTTTGTATAAAAAGTCCACGGTGCCCTTTCTTAAAAGCCTATTATTTTACTACTACTTCTTTCATGTGTTTGGTCAAGCAACCTTGAAACAAAGTCCAGTATCATGTGCAATATGAGTTATTTCTAAAGTTTGAGAAGGGCTGCTTCACACATTATTTTGTTCATAAAGTTACTAGATATAAACTGAAGATCTTTTTTAAAAGGCCTCTGCTGATGTAAAGGAAGCTCTTACATACTTCTCTGTTTACAAATAGATGCTTCAGTACTATCCAGTCTACATGCTCCTACCCTGGGAACAATCTCAACAAATAGCCACACGATCACCTCCACAAACAGGACAGCAGCAATTTGAGGAGCAGGTACTACTGTTTGACTTTAGTCTGACTAGTTCCATCTGAGACCAGAGGAGATATGGTAAATCTTCAGAGGAGAGAATATCTGAGTATATTTACTGCAAAAGCTCAAAAGCCTGAACTGGTGGTCACAAAAAGATACAGTGCGTTCCAAACAATGAATCATGGAATACTACATCAAAAACTAATGATGTAATGTATGGTGATTAACATAATAAAATAAAATTTTAAAAAAAGATACAGTGCATTCTCCTAACATATCACTAATTTGGAAATGCCCAAAGGCTGGATTTTAAAAGAATGAAGTCAGTGAGTGGACTTCAATAAAATCAGAGGCCAAAAGATGAATCATCTTGGAAAATTTTTTTTCTGACTTTTAAAAAGCTACGAGCATCCTTCTTGTCACGTTTACATGTGGTTATTATTAAGGAAAAAAAAAATAGCTTCCATGATGGAAGGCACCTATGATCACTAGATAACGTTAATATTGAGTTTTGTGGACCTACAGTACATTTTTAGAATTCTAATGTAATTTCAGGTGGCCCATATATAATTAGATTTCTTTTAGTTAGAATGGGGAAAAAATTTAATAGTTTATCACCACTCTAAAACTAAATTAGAGAAAACTGAAAATTATGCTTTAAGTGACTGGTAGTAGTAATTCTAATTAAGTTGTGTTAGTTTAAAGAGAAAAGAATTTTAACCTAGAAATCATATGGTATTAAAAAGATGCTTCGTAATTTAACAATAATTTTTACCACCTAGATCATATGAACTTTCAAAAAAGCATTTAATATAATATAAATATACATAGTTTTAAGTAATAATTTATTACAAAATTATGACAAAATCATCACAGCAAATCTAACCCATTTTTCAAAAATCTGACAGATGCCATTCTATACTCAATTTGGATATATTCCAGTACAAGCAGAACCTGTAAGTAATGCATACATTTCATTGAAAAAAAAAAAAAACCTAACTTTTGAAACGACTTGCTTCAGAAATGTATTAAATCTATCAGCACCCTTCAGCCAAAAACCATTAGGAACACACCCATAGTTGAACAAAATTAGATTTATCTACTCATTGCAATGAGGGAAGACCCACATGGGGAACAGTGGGGTGTCTTAATAGGAAGATGACTGACTGTTCAAAGGGTCTGGGCATCTGTCAGGTGATTTTGAGGAGAGTTCAAGAAATAATGGTCCACTCTGAATTGGGTGTTCTCAAGAAGTGATGGGTAATTCTATGACTGGTAATTAAACAATTCTTACCTAGAAGATAAAGGCAAAGAAGAGTGAGGCAAAGGCTCTGAAATGGTAAAGAAGGAAGAGTTACTCAGATTATCCAGGATATAAGGATGCCTGGAATTTTTGTGGCTTGCATGGCAACCTTCTTTAGACAAGATTACACAGTGGTTTTGGTTTTTTTGTTTTTTGTTTTTTTGTGTTTTTTGTCTTATTTCATCGTGTTCAGACTTGACCTTGTCTGATGTCCGTATTCTGTAGGATTGTTAATGTTCAACAGAACACCAGGGCCTAGCAGCAAATGTCCGGTAAGCTCCTGACAACACAAGCAGAGTTGTGTGTCCTGTGTCAGGAGCTACTTTTCTCTTTTGCAAATCTAAATGATTATCTTTGTTTTTAAGAAACTAAAATTGAAGAATTTGGGAAGTGTGTAGCTGCCTTGGATGCAAAACCACATATTTTATAGATGAAAAATTTAGACTTTTTTTCAACTTTCCAATGTTACAGGTTATGCTGGGAGGATGGCAGCAATTAGCCTTAGATCCCCTCCTAGGCCCAGCTCTTGAAACTGCTGTGATGGTAAGATCCCTTACCACATTGTGCTCCCAGAGGTCAGCAACTGGGAGCCGACAGTTTCCTGCACTATTGTTCATTTTAATGGACTTTACTATTATTTTTCCACCAACAATTATTATTCCTTCCACCTATAGTCTTTTGCCAGTCAAGATTCAATTTACTCAGTTCATCAAATATTTACTTCCCTATAACAGATAAACTCCTAGGGACACTCATTTAAAATCAGGTATTAAGAGACATCCACATTTGCTGGCATATATTTATAGCCATTCTATGATAGATTATAATCTAAAAAACTAATAAAGTCCTTTACTTCTTAAATAAATTATTTACCTTGCATATCAATCCTGTTGCTTTATATTCTTCCCAATTTTGACCTTGTATTTGAACCTGTAATTGCTTTGTGTTCTTTCTAATTCTCTATAGCCAGCAGGAGGAGTGATACCATATCTACAAAAAGAAGTGATAAACTTTAAACATGCCAGTGGAGGAATTTTCATTCCTTCAACTTCACAAAAATCCAGTACTACAAATTCTTTTGCTCCTGCTATCGACCCAACTATTACCCCAGAGTTGATGGAAAAGAAGGTAGAGTAATCAAAGATTTATTTTATGTAAGAAATTGTTATCTAATGGAAAATATAAAGTTAATGCTTAATTTATAAGACTCAGTCATAGAAATAATGAGAGACTTAATGATATAGTAAAATACATGGCCTTTACCTTAAATAGGCCAATAATTGATTACTAGTAATCAATTAGAATATAATTTAATTTTGATTTAATAAGCACTTCTTATGAATATCCTTTTCTCACTAGGCCAAGACTGATTACTTAAAGGAACCGTAAGATGTCCTAATCATTCAGAGTTTTTGGTAGGTATTTGCCAAAAGGCATGCATTAAGTACCGTGATACATCCTAAATAAAAGAGAAAAAAACAACATACTGTCAGGGGAACTCATGAAGAGGTCTTACCAAAATCAAACAAACAAAAAAAGTTAGTGTTTATATAGTTCTATAAAGCTAATAGTAATTGTGGGACTTCAGCAACTTTTTAAAAATAAAAATAAATTTTGAGAACCATGTCTGCCTATGCCATAAATTTGGTATAAACTCTGAAAACACAAGTAGTAAATATACTAGGTCCATGTAAAAGATATTTTACAAACACAAAATAGAGTCAGTTCTCCTAAATAATCACTTTACTTTGCAAGCTAGAAGTTTTAACAATGTCAATACATCTGTATTAGACTGGAATGAAATAAAGTCTCAAAGTGATTTTAAAAAAATGTAAAAATCGCATGGAAATTTAAATCCATGACCTTCCTATCAAACATAACCTTAATTAATTACCTGTCCTAATGGGATTGGTCAGCTGTGAGGCTCATGGGTGTTTGTGATAGAAGGGCAGGCTGGGATGGCACCAAGAAGTAAAAAACACACACTAAAAAGCAAACAATTTGGCCTGAAGGGGAAAAAAAAGCCAAGGGTTTTTTGAAATCTCCTCCTTGCTGCCTATGAGTCTTTTCTGATTCCTACTTCTGTGAAAATGAATCCTAAGCATTCTTCACTTTAAAAAAAGTCTATAAAATATAACCAGAGTGAATAGTTTAGCACCTCTTCAGGAAAGTCTCTTTTATAACATGACATTTTGTACAATGCAAATCAATTCAGGTTATTTAATCAGAAATACTAAAGGATCTCAGTGTAGTATGACCTTCCTTCTATGTGAAAACAGTGCCAGAAGTAGTTTTCTAGTTTTTATTAAGCATTTTGGAAAATATCTAGGAAATGTTCCACAAAACAGTCTAATGGTATTAAAATGCACTCCTATCTTATTTTTCAGAGAAAAAGCTATGGCAGTGCCCCGGATATCATTTTAGGCTATTTGCTTCCTCACTGCTAATATCAGTTCTTCGAAATACACAAAATACTCTTCTCTTGAATTTATTTTTACTTATGAATAATATTATACTCTTTAAATAAGTCATAGAATCATATAATACAATCATATAATAAGTCCTGTTCTTTACAAAATTATGTTTCTTTTCAAATATCCTATCAATGCATAATCTAGAAAGTAGCAACAAGAATAAAGCTAATTATCACTGGACCAACTAGATCATTGCATTTCTTGTTTATTAAGGATAGCTTTGGAAAATGAGAATAAAGATACACTGTCATTGGATTTTTGAGTGTGGTGATGGTGACTAATGAACTAAAGTATGTACCTTGGACATATCATCTCATTATTACCCCCAGGCCCATTCAGCTAGACTCCTTCTGATGCACTTCCCCTCAGAATCAAAATATTTGGTGGCAGGTATCATGAAGAGCACGGTCCCAGTAAGACACAGCTACACAGAGAGATGGCTGTCCTCACCGAAAAGGTTAGATCCCTAGGAAGATGTATGCTGGTTTGAGGAGGCAGCATCCTGTAGAGAAAAGGGCATAGATTTAGGATTTCATCATATCTGGCTTTCAATGTGGTTTTGAGCCTTCAGCAAGTCACTTAACCTGAGTCTCGGGTGTAAAACAGAGATAACAATACCTTTTAGAACTTCTGAAGGGACTACATGAAGTAACATATAAGATACCTGGCCATACAAAGTACTCAGAAAATGGTAATTCCCCCCCTTTCACTTGTTACTATGGAGACTTCTTATTTTCTTAGCTTTGGAGCTACAGCTGAAATTCTGAGAAAACAGGAAAACTGACATGTAATATGCTTTATATATTTGTATGTAGATGTGAGTTGATGTGTGTGAGTGCATGCACACAGAAAGAAAATGAATACATGAATGTGTTAAGTGGTTTCAAACAAATCTGGTTAGTATTCTAGGCTTTAAAGTTGATCAAAATTCCTAGAATCATACCTTTTCCAGAATTTAGTAACATTATGACTCTAAAAACTGCTACTTACCCTGTGGAAGAGCAACCCAATAATCACATATTCTGTTTCATCTTATATTTTCTCCTTTTCCCCTAAGTTGGTGAATTGAATGAATGTAATTCTGGGTAACTGACTGACGTCTTACTTTGGACATGATACAGAGATTCATACATCAAGACGTCTGATGAAAGCAGTTATTCAGCACTTGAGAACATTGTGTCCCCAAATTCCAAGAGTTCACAAGGTCACTGAAAAAATTGCATGAGGTCATTGATGCTGAGTGTTTAGAAAACAGGCACACGCTCAACTTCTCTTCAAGGAGGAGGAGAAAGGGGGTGGTCAGAGACGAAAGAGGAGAGATGAGCACAATATAGCTACTCTGTTCAAGGGACGGTGAAGAGAAGCAGAACTCAGGGAAAACTACAAAACTCCAAGCATCAAACTAAAATCGAGTCAAGAGTTTGGCCATTATCAGAGGCACCTGGGTGGCTCAGTCGTTAAGCTTCTGCCTTTGGCTCAGGTCATGATCCCAAGGTCCTGGGTTCGAGCCCTGCATCGGGCTCCCTGCTCAGCAGGAAGCCTGCTTCTCCCTCTCCCACTCCCCCTGCTTGTGTTCCTTCTCTTGCTGTGTCTCTCTCTGTCAAATAAATAAATAAAATCTCTAAAAAAAAAAAGTTTGGCAATATCAGGGGCTACAATAATAAATACTGTGAAAAATATGAGGATTACATAAATACAACAGTAACAGGTAAAAGCATAAAATGGAGAAGTATTACATAAAATAATGCAATGTTAAACATTGTTACTCTGAGAATAAATATTTTGATAAAAACATTCATATTAAGCTAAGTATGCTGAAATTATTTATTCTAGGCAATATTACTAGGACCTTATTACTCTGAATAGCTTTAACAGATCCAATGTAGTGACTTAGCTTAAAAAATAAATTCTCTAATCTCTGACTGTTCAGGATCCAATCTGTTTCAGGAAGATGTTAAATCATGTTAAGGTATTCATGAGCAACAACTATGTTTGAAAACCTGAATACTATAATTGCTATCAATGAAATATATTACATTTCAAAGTACTTTATAAAAGAACTTTAAACTCTACCATTTTTGTTAGCAAAGTTAGGAAGACAAAAAAGTACACTTAATGGAAATATCACCAGAATACTAGCAAAAAACTATCTTTTGTTTGTTTTAATCCTAACATCCCAATTGCCCCATCCCAGGCCAATGAAAAAAGGTGAAGCAGAAAAAGGCAGCTCAACCAACTCATTATGTACTGATTTGAACAGAAAAAAAATCTACATAGAATAATTTCTCTAAAATAAGCTCTGCATAGATTTTATAATCCACAATGTTTTGTTTTGTTTTGCTTTAAATGTTTCTTTTGGGGAGGGGACATCACACTTCTACTCAATTAAGAGAAACATTTTTACAGTCTTGAGGTCTTTTATATTTTTTACACTTACCATGACACAAATTCATGGGGAATGGGTTCCAGTGCTCCTCAAAACTTTCTTCAATGGTTGCTTCTTATCTGAATGTACTAAAATAGCTTTAGTTCAAGACTAAAATACAGAATCCATGCATGACTTCACCTTCAACATTAAATCCATATCTAATCTATCATCATGGTCTAGTATCACTTGTAATGCACAGATTTTAGGTATGTAGTTTGATGAGTTTTATTCACACACACACACACACACACACACACAAATGTATATACCTTGTAGCCACCACCCCATCAAGATACAGAACATTTCTATCACCCCTAGGAAGTCCTTCTTGCTCTTTTCCAGTCAATCTCATCTCCCACTGTCATGCCAGGCTACTACTTTAAAAAAATTTTTCTGTCAGTATATATTCATTTTGCCTGTTCTGGAACTTTATGTAAATTAAACCATACACTCTATATTCTTTTGTATCTGGAGCCTGTTACTCAATAGAATGCTTTTGTGATTCATCCATGTTACTGTTTCAGTTGTATATTACATTACATGAAAGTACCAGTTTTTTTCTTCATTCTCCTATGGAAGAACATTTGTGTTGTTTCTAATTACTGAACATTACAAATAAAGCTGCTATGAATGTTCTTCTTATACAAATCCTTTCATGTACATATATTTTCATTTCTCTTGAATAAATACCAAGAAGAGCAAAATCATATGTATATGTTATAAATAACCATTTTATACTCCGATCAGCAGTGTGTCAGAATTCCAGTTTCTCCACCTTCTCGCCAACATCTACAATCATCTTTTTAAAAAAATCATTTTCATGAATTGCTCTTCGGCCACACATCCCTTCAAAGGTTAACCTTCACGGAGTCTGACCTCCATCCCTTCCTCTCTCTCAAAAGTTGCTGCATGAACATTGTCGTGATTATTGTTTTGACTTTAAAAAGTATTTATAAATAACCACTGACTCCTACATCTACATCTCAGTCTAATCTATTAAATAGTGAAGTCTACAGCTAGTCTAATATAGTAAATAGTTCAAAATTTCTCTTTTTAATGTTAGCTATTTTAACAAGTATGAAGAAGCATCTCATGGTTTTAATTTGCATTTGCCTGATGACCAATATAGCTTTTTTATGCTTACTGGACATTTGTGTATCTTCATTTCCAAAAATTATATTCAGGTCTTTTGTTGACTTCCTTATGATTGAATTTTATGAGTTTTTAATATATTATGCATGAAGCTACTTTGTCAAATAAATGTATTTTAAATACTTTTCCCATTGTGTAGCTTGTCTTTTCATTTCTTAATGAGGTTTTTAAAAAAATACATTTTTTATGTTGATGCAGTTAAATTTGTCAATTTTTCGAAGATAAGTGTCTCTTGTGTCCTATTAAAGAAATCTGCACCTACTCCAAAGTAATGAATATATGTTCCTATGTTTTCTTACAGAATTTTTAATGGTATAGCTTTTATATTATTTAGGTCTGTAGCTATTATTTTTTGTATAGAGCATGAATATAGAGTCAAGAATAATTTTTTTTTCCACACAGAGACCTAGTTGATGTTATACAGAATCACTTGTTTAAAAGAATACCATTTTCTAATTGAGTTGCCTTGGTACCCATATTGAAAATCAATAGACTTCATCTGCATCTGTTTTTGGACTCTTTTCCATTTAATTGCTTTTCTCTTTCTGCATCAATACTACATGGTCTTCATTACTATAACTTTACATCTTTTGCATTTCCATATACATTTTAGAAACATTTTACTAATTTCTACCCTGCCAGAGTTGTAATAGAATTGTGCTGAATTTCCAAATCAATTAGTAAAGACTTGATGTCTTAACAATATTGTTTTGATTCATGAACAATGTATATATTTATTTATTTAGGTCTTTTCTAAGTGTATCTCTGAAGTGTATTGTGGCTCTCAATGTACAGGTTTTGTAATATTTGTTAAATTTATTTCTGAATACTTTATGTTCTTAAATTATGTTCTAAAATTTCATTTTCCATTTTCAGTATATAGAAAGGCAGTTGATTTTTATACATTGCACTTGTACGATATGATCATGCTAAATACATTTGTTAGTTTTCATAAGTATATTGTGAATTCCATATCATTTTCTACCAAAATATAATATTTTTCTGGAAATAAAAATAATTTCACTTGCTTCTATTTATTTGTTTGCAATTATTCTTCTTACCTTGTTACACTGACTACGGTATCCACTGTAGTGGTGATTAGAGGAATAAAAGTGGGCATGTTTCCAGTGCCCCTTATATTAGGGAGAAAGCAATTATTATTTCACAATTAAGTCAGCTATGCATTTCCCATAAATTATCAGATTGTGGAAATCCTTTTATTTCTATATTGGTGAGAATTTTTATTATGAATGTTTAGCTGAAACTTTTGTCAAATGATTTCTCTGCATTTACTGAAATAATAATATTAATTTTCCCTTTGATCTGGTTATGTGGTGAATTACGTTGTTTAATTTTTTTAATGTTGAATCAACCTTACACTCCTGAAAAAAAAAAACACCAATTTGTTGTAATGCAATATCTTTTTAAAATATTGCTGGTGTCAACACAAAATGAACAAACCTTTCAGAATCTCTAAAAGTAAGAAAGAGAGTTTTATTTGAGCCTAAGTTAGGACAGCTGCCCAGAAAACATGCTCTTCACAGGGATGAAAGTGCTCCAAAGAATGAACAGTTTTACAAGGTTATATGCCTTTTTACATCTTGTAAAAGCTCAGAAGATTATAGATTAACATATAGGTAGGAATAATTTTTTAATGTTAGGGAATGCAGGGAGTAGGAGCATTGATCAATATCTTAAGGACTAGATGGTTTTCCTTTAGGCTACTCATTTACAAAGTGGGTGTACATTGTACGTTTGGTGGGCCATAAATCAGGCTTTTAGTTTAAACAAAGTTTATATACAATCACGCTGACTTAGAAAGAAATCTAAAATAGATTCCCTTATATCCCAGGCCTTTAGAAGCTTTTTCTCTTATCACTGGGTTCAACTCATTAATATTTTATGAATGATTTTTACATTTGTGTCCATGAATGCTATTAGTTGGCAATTTTCTTTTCTTATAATATCCCTGGCAGTTTTTATATTGGGGTTTTGCTGGTTTCATAACATGAGCTGGGAAATGTTTTGTTCTTCCTAAGTATGTCTGTGTGATATTGGTATTATGTCTTCTTTATATGTTTGATAGAACTCACCAGTAAAGCCACTTGGGCCCAGAGCTTTCTTCAGGGGAATATTTTTAATTATACTTTATTAAATACAAGGTTGCTTCAATTTTTTATTTCTTCTTACATTGAATTTAGATGTAATGTCAATGAATGCATCTAGCTGTGTTTCAATAAAACTTCATTTACAAAAGCAAGCATGGGCTACATTTGACCCTCAGGCTATAATTTGCCAACCCCTAACTTAGATCACTGATTCTAAACATTTCTTTTATTCTTATATAAACATATTAAAGATATAAAATTGTAATCATTCCTTTCTTTTTTATTGAAAAATGGATTTTAAATATCTAAATGTTTGAGTATTTTCAACATGTTATTATTATTAATTTTAAGATATACCCATTGAAATCAGAAAATATATTCTTTCTTTTTTTTTTTTTTAAAGATTTTGTTTATTTATTTGAGAGAGAGAGAATGAGAGACAGAGAGCACGGGAGGGAAGAGGGCAGAGGGAGAAGCAGACCCCCTGCTGAGCAGGGAGCCCGATGTGGGACTCTATCCCGGGACTCCAGGATCATGACCTGAGCTGAAGGCAGTCGCTTAACCAACTGAGCCACCCAGGCTCCCAGAAAATATATTCTTTTTAGAGATAATATTTTTATTATATTGTCAGCTGATTCAAATACATTGTTGAAAACCAAAAAAAAGTGAGAAAAAGACAAAACAAAAAAGGAATAATTAGTAAATAAACATGGGAAAGTATTTCACATCTTATTTGATAATGAATATGATGTGTATTTATAACTCAGTAGGCACAAATGATACATAATTAAAACAACCAGTGCAGGTGAAAGTGTATTGTAACTAGCAGTCCACTTTCTCAAGGCAACAGACAATAATACAGTACTTTGTAATACAATTTTGTAAAATGTACCTTAAGTTTATAT